CAAGGCCAAGTTCAGCTCGGGGGAATGTGCGAAGAAGTATGAAAAGGTTCCAATAAGGATTTGTAAGAGAGATTCATTCGGATTTACACGATCTGTGGGATTAAGACGACGTTTTCGTACACCGGACATTCCCCTAGAGTTGCCCTTCTTTAAGAGACTTTTTTTGTTCGATTTGTTTGATTTCGGTCTGGTTGGTCCGTCTTCGGTCCATTCCACATCCAGACCGTTTCTGTAACACGTATCGGCCTCAATGATCATCTCAGCATCACGAACATAAGATTCATACCCATTCGTTAAGATCGATGGGTTTTTGGTGGTATCGATCGCAGAGATCAGAGAACTAAAGAGATCCAATTCCTTCAGGTGATGGCTGATCGTGGTCTTTTTATTGAGATGCGAGAAGCCAGAGTGCAAATCGTGGAATTCATCGAACAAGTAGGTTGGCCTCGGGAAGCAGGTGGCGTGCTCATCCAATTCGATGTTTAGCAATTTCAAAGAGTAACGACAATGCTTGGAAATAACCGTGTGGAGAAGTTTTAGCGTCGCGATGACAGTCTGTTCGGAGGATGAACGCAAACGCGAGAAAATAAGATCTTTCAGGGTGAAACGACCCGAGGCCGTAAAATAAGGAGAGGATTTTATGGGACTGGCCTCAATACCCTCGAAGAGGTTTATGGTGCTCTGACGTTTTGCAAATTTATTGACGGTAGCTTGTTTCCAGAATTCCTCGTCGTCGCCATCCGAATCCATCAGGAATCCCACCACCACATCGACCAGATCCTCTTGGCTCAGTGTTTGCATGATGATATCAATATAGGAAATGACCGCAACGGCAGAGCCATCGTTGTCCGAGCATTCCAAGATCGATGGGTATAGGATGTTTTCGAGAAAATTGGTCTTAACGTTCTGAAGCAATGCCAAAGAGATATCCGCGTTGGGACATATGTTCAACACATCCTGACAGAATTCCATCAACTTCAAGAATGAATCAAGTTGATTCATGAACTCAGGCGATGAAGACACTTGAATGTTGTTTGCACGTAATCGTTCAAGCTCGACACCTGCAATGTCCCCAAAACCGAGAAGGGCGGCATTCGTCAATCCACCACCTGAACTCCTCACCATCAACTTCCTTGGAAGTTGCGAGTAAAGTGCGCCCAATCCAGCGGCCATGATCGTTGCAAAATCACTCTCGCTGATGAAGTCGGCGAGCGGACCTTCCGCGAGCTCAATGATGAAGAGCAAACCATACCTTGCGTATTCACCGCTTCTACCCTCTTTGTGGAGGAATTGAAGTAGATATGTGAAAAGTAAGAATTCGTATTCCGGCTTTTCCGGATCCTCGGTAAATTCGGTTGTCTTGGTGGGCGCGGTGGATGTACAGTTCTCCGGCGGTGGAATTTCTTCCGAGTTTCCATCGTGATCGTTGTTGGAAGGTGAGTTCTCGGATTCTTTCTTCAAGTATGTCTTCTGTGGTGTCGTGAGCCAATGGGTATCGTGAAAGAAGATGTTCAAGAGCGCGGGGAATGAGTGGATCTTGGAACATATGTGATACATCAAATCGACCAACTCCTCGTCATACTTATCGCCGGGGTCATCGTGAATGTCATGAACACATGTGCGTAAAAGGGAGATGGTTGGATGGTGAACAGCATTGTGAACCAAAAACCGATCGTCCAATAGGTTAATCATGGAACCGAAGGTCTTAATGATCTCACCACGAATACCTTTTGGGATATCGCTTTTAGCATACTTCACTAGTTCATCGAGGATTTTGTTTCTTAGGAATTCCTCCATGCAGAGACCGGTGTTCACGTCTTCGAGACGCAGACCTTCGTCAACAAGAAGGTCAACCATTTGCCTAAGGTGGTGAGAAATGTCGGAAATTTCGGCATGACCGCTATCCTCATTTTTAAGTTGCGTCTGCTGTTTTTGGTCCAATAGCCGGTCAGTGACTTTACAGTTGTCGCGTCAAAGAATAAAATTTGTGTTCAGCCTCAACTCACCCTTATGTAATCCCACGATTTTTTAAACTTTGCCAGCTGTTCGGCATGAGTGGGCTGCACCCTTTGGGGCGCTATCCTATTCCTCAGATTCATAAAATAGTCCATTGCTCTCTTTTTTCGTTAAAGGAACGAGGACGTGGCTAAGGGAAAAAAAGGAGAAAAAAAAAAAAAAAAAAAAAAAAACCCCTCTTTTTTTAGTAATATGATTTTTCGTTCAATTATAGTATGTACACCTTTAAACGATGGTATCTGATTGGGTGAGGCTATACATCAAAAAAAAATTTTTCATAAAGGATTGATCAAGTGGCGATTAGGAGCCCTCCTCTCTGAAAAAGTTGACAATGACCAAGGGATTGTAAGTCAACTTCTGGCCGTCGAGGCTATCGTGAGATTTTTCTTGGCCTTGGAAAAGAAAAAATTGTGATGACACAACCTTTTGCTCCCTTCACAATAGAACCGTCGCCACAGCTGAGCAGATCCGTGTTCCCGAGACCCTCTTGAAAAAGAGAAAAGATCAGGAAAGGATTGCATCCGAGAAGGCAGCTGCTCTTGTAAAAAAGCGTAAGGTACTTGACCATCTATTTGCATCGTCATTATTATTGAGTCTTGGAATTTTTTTGAAGAAAAATTCAAAAAAGAAGGGAAAATTGAATGTTTGAGTGATGAGAGAGGGCTCTGTCCCTTTGAGTGAATCTAGCTACGGCAATGTTGAATTTACAATAATACCATCTTTCGGGACTGACAAATATCAATTTTCGAGGGGGATGATTTAAAAAAAAAATTTAATTTGCCGTGAAAATTCGCGTGATTAACCGAATCATCAAAATTTGAATTGTAAGGCCGCAAAGACCCGCCGCGTAATCTTCAAGCGCGCGGAAACATATGTTAAAGAATACATCGCTGCTGAACGTCACGAGATCCGTTTGCGTCGTCAAGCGAAGGCCAAGGGCAATTATTATGTCTCCCCTCAGCCGACATTGGCTTTCATTATTCGTATCAAAGGGTAAATTGCCTTCAACATTTTTCATTCCTACTATATTATCAGCACTTCAAAACTTCTAAGACATTACAACAAATCGCTTTAAAGTATCAACCACATCCCACCCAAGCCGCGCAAGATTCTTCAACTCTTGCGTCTCCTTCAAATCAATAACGGCGTATTCGTACGATTGACCAAGGCGACGAAACAGATGCTCCAATTGGTTACACCCTATGTTGCATTTGGGAAACCTAATTTGAAGTAATTGTGGATATATATGTATATATGTGTGTGCTCTTCATCTCGTTCGTTTCCTCCATCTAAACGCCTGTCATATTTGTTCGTGTTCACATTGTGAAAAAAAAAAAAAAAAGGTCGGTTCACGAACTCATCTACAAACGCGGTTACGCAAAGGTAAACAATCAACGCATTCCAATAAACGACAACTCTATCATCGAAAAAAATTTGGGCAAATATGGTATCATCTGCATCGAGGATTTGGTTCATGAGATCTTCACGGTTGGACCGAATGTAAGTTCGCTTGATTGATAACTTCTGGTGATTTTATCAAAGAAAGAATCAATGGACGAATTCTTATCACATGTTAACTTCCTTTCTCCCCTCTCATCATCAACATAAATAAGTTCAAGCAAGCCAACAATTTCCTTTGGCCTTTCAAGCTATCCAATCCTAATGGTGGCTGGTCTACCAGGAAGTTTAGGCATTATGTTGAAGGTGGTGATTTTGGTGATCGAGAAGATAAAATCAATGAACTGATCCGTAAAATGAATTGATCTCGGAGATGATGGGGGGAAATTTATGAATAAAATACCGCTTTCTGTTGTTCACCTGTCGATTTCTTTAACTGAAACAAATAAAATTAATGTGTAACGTTGGAAAACCTTGATTCAATTGGTTATTGATACACGTGCGAATGCGAAAACTTGTATATGTAACATCATGCACATTGTTTCACGATTGACATATGCTATCCGGGATTACTCGGGCACAATCTACGCGTTGTCACATAAAAGATCTTTTTTTTTTCTTAATTCTTCTGAACCTTCATCATGTCAAGCCAACCTATCGAACTATATAGCGGAAAATATTACCTCACATGCGCTTTCGGAGGTGTATTAGCTTGTGGCTTAACTCATACCTTTGTCACGCCGCTTGACCTTGTGAAGTGCCGTAGACAGGTACTGAAAATTTTTTCAAGCTTAAAAAATTGAGGCTGTCGTCGAAAATTCGCAGCGTAAATTTCTGCCGAGTCAATAGGGAGATTCTAAAAAGGAAATGGGAGATGGTTGTTCCTGCATGGTTTTCTTTAATTCCTGTCTCTTTTCGCCACGGCTCTAGGTCAACCCTACTATATACAAGGGAAATTTCGACGGATGGAACAAGATCTATCGCGCCGAGGGATTTCGTGGATTATATACTGGTTGGCTTCCTACCTTTGTTGGATACTCTTTCCAGGGAGCTGCGAAATATGGTTTTTATGAGATTTTCAAGAAAACCTATTCCGATTTTGCCGGCGAAGAGAATGCTCACAAATATCGCACCACTCTGTATCTCGCTGCGAGTGCCAGGTGCATGAGACGATCTTTGCGAATGATAATTTTATGCGAATGCGCCAGATAAATTAAGCTTTATTGTATTCAAATATAGTGCCGAGATTATTGCCGACATCGCTTTGTGTCCATGGGAAGCGTTGAAAGTCAGAATGCAGACGTCCACCGAACCATTCGCTAAGGGTACGGTGGAAGGTTTTAACAAGATTTTGAAAAACGAAGGTGTAAATGGGTAAGAAATTCCGGGTTCATCGATCTATCTATATGCGCGCGAGAATGAAAGCAGACTAATTTCATTCGGTCCAACAACAGCTTCTACAAGGGTCTCACCCCACTTTGGGCCAGGCAGGTTCCCTACACCATGATGAAGTTCGCTAGTTTTGAAAGAACCGTCGGTTCGTATCTCATTTATCTGACATATTTATAAACCCAATCGAGAAGTAGTGATCACGGATCGAAATGAATTATCATTTGTCCAATTTAATTCAGAATTCATCTACAAAACTGTCGGAAGACCGAAGGAAGAATACAATAAACTTGAGCAATTGGGTGTTTCCTTCCTTGGTGGATACATCGCCGGTGTATTTTGCGCTATCGTCAGTCATCCCGCGGATACGATGGTCTCAAAGGTATGATTCTCTCCTTGATCAAAGGTGCCACATCAATCTCAACACTAAAAATCAATGAACATTCAAACGTTAGCTCAATAACATCAAGAAAGCCGAGGGAGAGTCAACCGCCGCTCTTTCCGTCAAGATTCTTAAGGATCTTGGGTTCTTGGGAATCTGGAGAGGTCTTGGTACCCGTGTTATTATGATCGGCACGTTGACCGCTTTGCAATGGCTTATCTATGATTATGTGAAGGTGTACTCCGGATTGCCGACAACCGGGTCTGAGAAAAAAAAATAGAAATTCGCAATTTTCAGTTGGATCCCAAACCTTGGAGTCAAGTTGGATTTAAAGGTGTCCGAAAGTCCGGTTCTTACCTGGCCGAAACTCAGAACGACATCCAATGGATCCTTCGGTCTCACGGATTAGAATTTACTGATGAGGTCGACGAAGCTCTTGAAACCTTAGATTCAGAATTATATTTTTGGTAAACGAACAAATTCATGACTTTAATAAAAGAATGTGAAAGGGTACACCTTTTTTAAATGACACAAGTTTAAGCTCGAAGACAATAAAATCCATCTGTTGATGGACAATGTGATTGGATAATTACGAAAATCATTGTTCTAATCGTTATCATATGAGCCCGACCAATCAAACGGTTAGGGGTTAAAAACCAATGAACTGCAATACAATCTTGATTGCAGTGAGATTTTCTGTATGAGATAAATATTCCAAAATGGTAAATGGGGGATGCTCAAGGGTGAATATAAAAAAGCCCTATATAAGCAAGTCGTCGAGATTGTGTAATCAATTTCTTTCCTCTCGTTTTTAATTTTCTTTGTGACCTATCGGGCATAGAACTTAACAAATTCAGTCGCACCGTTAGAATATTTAACAAAATTAGTCGCACCGTCGCACCGTTAGAACATTTAATTTCATTTAATTTAATAAAAATTGGTCGCACCATTAAAAAAAAAAAAAAATACCTGATAAACCCGGGTATGAACGAGAACGAACCTCATGACCACAATAATATAACCGCAGATGATCGACATCCAAATTCAACGTCGGAAAAGAAAAAAAAATCAAGAAAACGAATAAAAAGACTTGCGAATCACTGTAATAGATCTCGGATAGTACTTTTCCTACTGTTCGTTGGAATGATAGCGGCGGTCGTTTTGATCGCAATATTCTTGAAGAACAATCCTTCCATATTCATCAGACCACAATGCAGAGCCTCATACGGCGCTGCATCTTTAAACTCCACGTTTAGCACTTTAGGTCAACTGGAAACAGGACTCAATTATGACAGCAATAGTGAATACCGTATAGTCAGTCCCTTGGGACTCACGGGAAAGTATCAATTCAGCGAACAGGAACTAAAAGATTTAGGTTACTACATACCTAAAGACAATATTTATTATAACAATGGTAGCGATAAAAATTATTGGTTAGGAACATTTACCGGGAAGAATGGATGCAACAGTTATCAGGATTTCTTGGATAATAAATTTGACGTTCAAGAAATTGCGATCAGAGAAGAATTTCAGATGGACCTGAAAATTCTGAACAATTCATTACCGCCCAATAAATCTTTAACCAGCTTTCTGGACAAACCCCTGAGATTCACCGGCGGCTGCAACATAAATCTCGGTGGGGTGATGGTGGCTAATGTCACAATGGCTGGAATATTGGCTTCGGCACATTTGATCGGAGCCACCGACGTCGCCCGCGCATTGACAAGTGGCATTGCACCCTGTGACGTGACGAACACGAGTATGACGACATATTTGACAAGTTTCAACGGTTGTGATTTTAGCGCCGAGGATGTTGCCAAAGCCGTTAATTCATTTAATAATAGCACTGTATCAGGGAATTCATGACTTTCATAATATATACTGACTGCATTGTCGAGTTTTCGAATTAAATAATTAATGTCTCCAGTGATATTTATTATTGCCAAACATCAAAACTAAAAATAAAAATGATTCAATACACGAAATCGGGGTCTTTTGCGTGACCCTTTTTGAAATTATCTCGCGTCCGTTAACAATAGTTGACAAATAACATCTCCACTTCTTTTTTCTAAAGGAATTTTTTTTTAAAAAAAAAGTCTGTGATCATTTCCCTATTAATCTCGTGGTAGAAAAGAAAGACAATATCCATGTCTCAACTGGATGTGCAAGAATATCCAATGTAATAATCCGGTGATGGACGGTATCGCACACGATGGAAACCGGTAATCTTATTTAATTTCCTACGAGTCGATCAATTGAAGAGCAAAATCGGAAATAAAATTTTTCTTATGATTGGAGTTTTATATATTCCTCGGTAAAGTATTCCTTTCGATGTTCGTTCAAATAGCTGTGTGGTATGCAGATATTTATAATCTTCAGTAAAAGCTTATATAAGAGAATTCTAATGTGAAGTCTCATACTTTATTAAATCCGTCAGGTGATCTTTCAATACGTTCAGGGTCTCCTGTCCTAAATTGGTGCTTGACACTAATTGTGGAAAGGCCACTGACGTACGTCGGAGAATTTAGGTTAGCCGATCTTAGAAATAAAATAGTTTACCGTGAAGTAAGATGCATCCGTTGCATACCGAATAACCTTAACAAATGTTCGGCACCAAAAATTTGAGAATTCTCGAAATGATCAAACTTATGTCGAACTTCACGATATTGGGGCCTTTCCAATCGATACAAAAGCCGAGTGCCAATACATTTATTGAAATAAAAAAGGACACCTTTCAGAACTTCCTCGGAAATTCCGTCGCTAAATATTAAATTCCCATTAAGTGAATGCATGATCAACCATGCGTTAACCACAAACAAAATACCTACAGACTATCCTGATTTCCGTTCTTCTCCTTCCGCCACCGTCTATAATTCTCAATAATATCCCCGACATGGGGTTTTCGTGGTAATGGAACATTCTGTAATGAAACAACGACAACGTATTCACTATTCATTCACCCACTACTTCTACATCAAATACCATGTGCATTCATTTGTATATACCATATGTGACTTATTGATGTTTTCCCAATCCTGCACCAAGAGAGCTCTCAGAGGTTCAGGCATGTTAAACAAGATCTTTGGTTTTTTTACGAAATCGTCCTGTCATTAATCATTTTGCAAAGATCCGTCAAATATCGAAATAAAGTAAAATAAACCCAGTCAGGACGTAATAAATCCACAAACTTTATCAATAGAACGGTCTCTTCTCCTCTTCTTTCCTTTATCTACATTGGAATCTTGAGCGGCCTTCTTTACTGACGGTTTATTCTTCTTATTCATCGTTTCCTCGAGCATTTTTTGCCTATTTAAATTTGCGTCGTTGAACTTTAAAACTCTTGTTTCCGCAACCCACTCATCCCACCTTTGTGTAAATTGTCAACAAAGTTTCGGAAGTTAGTTTTACTAACTGGCTCATTATAATGATAGTAAAGCGGAAGTTAGTTTCGTTGACCGGCTCTTTGAAAATAAGAGATTTGGAGTCTTACGTATTTTTCCATCCTTTATAATGTATCAAATAATGTGGTCCGGTTTGCCCCGATTTTGGATGTTTGGTATCAAAGGTGTCAAATTGCAGTACCTAAAAATCAGCAGCACAATAGTTTACCACTACCCAGTATCTTATTTCCTTCTCAGAAACGGCAGTAAATAGAGAACATTTTTCACCAACCTTGGCTTCGTAAATCATTGGTCCGTGATAGCAAAGAATCCTTTCACCTTCTTTAAAAAGATATTCTCGGTGTTGCGCCATATCGCTAACTGATCGTTTTCAAACAATAGAACGTATAGATGTAACCTTTTAGATCTTTCTTAACGTTAGTCGAAACTCATGCTCATTGGCAAATTTACTAGTCAAGATTCTTCTAGAAATGATTGACGCAATATTTTACCTATTGTTTTTTTTTTTTTTTTGGTATAGGAAAGGAGACTTTTTTTACAGGTCGTCACGGCATATTTTATTGTAATGACATTTGGCAATTTGGCAAATTTTCACGTGATGACAAACTCGTCGTAAGGATACAGTATATCCTTTCGAGTGGCTTTTTTATGTTGCTGCCTGCCAATCAAGTCCCTATTCTTATTGGCCTTCAAAGAGAGGGGACAGTTTTTTTTCACATTTGTCTTAATAATTTAACTATAAAAAAGTTTCTTCATTATCTTTAAGTTTGATCTGGAAAATGCATTAAAAATTGGTTAAAATTTTTTAAAAAGATTTATTATTAAATTATTAAAATTTCCTTTCTTAATTTTTATAAGACATGTCATGATAACATAATTGCAAATTAAAAAATAATAATAATAATAAGCAAAATAATGATTATTTTTTTTTTCTATAATCTTTTATCAGATTAGTTAGATATACAATACTTTATTAAATATATAGTAGAGATCAAAAATAATGAGAATTTTAAATTGGCTATTATGCCTTAAATTTTATTTAAATTTTGCATATTTAAATGTCTTAATACTGTATATCAATTTTAAGGTAAAAATTTTTTAATACTTTGTTTTTTTATCCTTTAACTCAATTATGTTATTTAATTTAATTTAATTTTTTTTTTTAACCTATAGTCAGGTTAACATGGCATGTCTTTATTGTATATATGCTAGGTATTTACAAATTATTGTGACTTTCACATATTGACTCACTCATTATCAAAAAGCTATTTCTCTAAATACAATCTAAGAAATGATATTTCGCTCCTTTACTAATTTGGATAAATCCTCTAATTAATAAAATCATTGCCTACAGATCATTACTGT